AGCAACAGTGGGAGGGCTTCTAGTGTCCTGGCCCAACTGGTGGACCTCCTGATGGCACCTGGAGAGTGTTTGACTGGAGGGGCCATTTGCCTGATCCAACATGGCTTCTCTTTTTTTCTTGCTAGGGGACTGGATAAATCTATCTATAAGCATATGGAGCAGAGGTTCATGAGTGGCCATTAGCCACAAAGTATAGATGGAACACTTTTTTGAGGTCAGTGATGCTCTTGAGGGGCAGCAGTGGGAGGGCTCCTGAAGGTCTGGTCCTGCTGGTGCACCTCCTGATAGCACCTGGGCTTTGGCCATTGTGTGACCCAGAGTGTTGGACTGGATGGGCCATTGGCCTGATCCAACATGGCTTCTCTTCTGTTCTTATGTCTGGGGCAGTGATGCTCTGTATCTTTGGTGCTTCGGGAGGCAGCAGTGGGAGGGCTCCTGAAGGTCTGGTCCTGCTGGTGCACCTCCTGATAGCACCTGGGCTTTGGCCATTGTGTGACCCAGAGTGTTGGACTGGATGGGCCATTGGCCTGATCCAACATGGCTTCTCTTCTGTTCTTACCAGCTTCAAGAGGGGACAGGATAAACATGGAACAGAGGTTCATCAGTTGCTATTAGTCACAAGGTATAGATGGAACATTCTGTCTGGGACAGTGATGCTCTGTATGCTTGGTGCTGGGGGGGGGCACAGTGGGAGGGCTCCTGGAGTTCTGGCCCCTCTGGTGGGACCTCCTGATTTCACCTGGGTTTTGGCCACTGTGTGACAAAGAGTGTTGGACTGGATGAGCCATTGGCCTGATCCAACATGGCTTTTCTAGTGTTCTTAAGACTGGGGCAATGATGCTCTGTATTCTTGGTGCTGGGGGGGCCAGAGTGGGAGGGCTTCTGGAGTTGTGGACCTCCTGATGGCACCTGGGCTTTGGCCGCTGTGTGACGCAGAGTGTTGGACTGGATGGGCCATTGGCCTGATCCAACATGGCTTCTCTTATGTCCTCCTCATGACTTCCAGAATGCTTGTGGCTGGGCTCCTGAATAAGCTTAGCAGTCAATGGGGTGAGGGGTCGGGTCCTCTTATGGATTGCCATGACCTGGATGGCCCAGGCTAGCCCAATCTGGGAAGCGAAGCAGGGTCGGTCGTGGCTTAGAACTTGGGTGGGAGACCCCCAAGGAAGATGGGATGCCATAAGAACATAAGAGACGCCAGTGTTGGATCAGGCCAGTGGCCCCTCCAGTCCAACACTCTGTGTCACACAGTGGCCAGAAATACCAGGTGCCATCAGGAGGTCCAGCAGTGGGGCCAGGACACCAGAAGCCCTCCCACTGTCCCCCCCCCCAAGCACCAAGAAGACAGAGCATCACTTGCCCCAGACATAAGAACATAAGAGAATCCATGTTGGATCAGGCCAATGGCCCATCCAGTCCAACACTCTGTGTCACACAGTGGCCAGAAATACCAGGGGCTATCAGGAGGTCCAGCAGTGAAGCCAGGACACCAGAAGCCCTCCCACTGTTGCCCCACCCCCAAGCACCAAGAAGACAGAGCATCCCTTGCCCCAGACATAAGAACCTAAGAAACACCAATGTTGGATCAGGCTGGCCCCTCCAGTCCAACACTCTGTGTCACACAGTGGCCAGAAATACCAGGTGCCATCAGGAGGTCCAGCAGTGGGGCCAGGACACCAGAAGCCCTCCCACTGTTGCCCCCCTCCAAGCACCAAGAAGACAGTGCATCCCTTGCCCCAGACTGAGAGTTCCTATCTATACCTTGTGGCTAAGAGCCACGGATGGACCTCCGCTCCATATGCCTATCTAATTCCCTCTTGAAGCCGTCCATGCTTGTAGCCGCCACCACCTCATGTGGCAGTGAATTCCATGTGTTCATCACACTTTGGGTGAAGAAGGACTTCTTTTTATCTGTTCTAACCCGAGTGCTCAGCAATTTCATGCCTTCAGTTCCTGTGAGAAAGGAGTGTGGATTCTAATCTGGGAGAACTGGGTTTGATTCCCCACTCCTCCACATGCAGCTGCTGGTGTGACCTTGGGTCAGTCACAAGTTCTCTCAGAGCTGTTCTCTCAAGGGCAGTCCTCGAGAGAGCTCTCTCAGCCCCACCGACCTCACAGGGTGTCTGTTGTGGGGAGGCGAAGGGAAAGGAGTTTGTAAGCCACTCTGAGACTCCCTCGGGTAGTGAAGGGTGGAGTATAAATCCAATCTCTTCTCTCTTCTTCTGTGTTCTCCCCGCTAATGCGACTTCTCTTGTTTTGGGCTGACCTTTTTTTCTCTCCTTGTTAACTTAGGGTCTTCGGGAGCCGGCTCCATTTTCTGATGAGCTCGAGGTGGATTACAGCAAGCCATACATCCGGGTCACGTACGAGGAGGCCTTGAGAGGGACCCCACGTGAGTAGCTCTCTTGGGAACTCTGCCGGCATAAGTCGTGATTCGGTGGCACTTTCCACCACCGTGACTGTAATAGATTCCTCATTGATTGTTTCTACTTCTTCGGTCTCTTCTGAAGCCGGACCACCCTTTTAAAATAGGATACCAGGTCCCCCCATTCTAGCTGCATCCGAAGAAGTGAGCAGTGACTCACAAAAGCTATCCTACCAGGAATTTTAGAAAAGAGCAAGAGTCCAGTAGCACCGTATAGAATCATAGAATGTTAGAGTTGGAGGGGACCTTGCAGGTCATCTAGTCCAACCCCCTGCACTCTGCAGGAGCACAGCCGAAAGAGAGCCCTACAACACACCCGAAAGGTCGTCGTCTGGCCTCCGCTTGAAAACGTCCAGCAAAGGAGCATCCACCACCTCCCGAGGCAGTCTGTTCCACTGCTCAACCACTCTGACAGTCAGGAAGTATCTCCTGATATTTAGCCGGTATCGACTCCCTTATCACTTCCACCCATTATAGAATCATAGAATGTTAGAGTTGGAAGGGAGCTTGCAGGTCATCTAGTCCAACCCCCTGCACTCTGCAGGAGCAGAGCCGAAAGAGAGCCCTACATACCTACAACATACCCGACAGATGGTCGTCCAGCCTCCGCTTGAAAACGTCCAGGGAAGGACCATCCACCATCTCCCAAGGCAGACTGTTCCACTGCTCAGCCACTCTCACTAACAAAATACATGGCAGGGTAGGAGCATTTGTGAGTTACTGCTCACTTTCTAGCTGTTACCTGAAGAAGTGAGCAGTGACTCGCGAAAGCTCCTCCCCTGCCACAAACGCTGTTAGTCTTTAAGGAGCTGCTGGACTCTTGCTCTTTTCGACTGCTACAGACAGACAAACATGGCCACCCGTCTCGATCGGGGTCCCCCTTGTTGCCTAAAGCTGTAAAAGAAAAGCATAGACAACCCCCCTTCTTTTCTGAGAGCCGGTTTGGTGAGAGTTTGCTGAGAGCCAGTTTGGTGTCATGGTTAGGAACGTGGACTCTAATTTGGGAGAACCAGGTTTGATTTCCCCACTCCTCCATTTGCACCTGCTAGGTTACCTTGGGTCAGTCACAAGTTCTCTGAGACCTGTTCTCTAAATGGCAGTCTTCGAAAGAGCTCTCTCAGCCCCACCTACCTCACAGGGTGTTTGTTCTGGGGAGAGGAAGGGAAAGGAGATTGTGAGCTGCTCTGAGACTCCTTCAGGTAGTGGAGGGCGAGGTATAAATCCAATCTTCTCCTCCCTCCTCTTCCTTCTTCTCCTCCTCCTCCTTCTTCTTCTCCTCCTTCTCCTCCTCCTACTCCCTCTCCTCCTCCTCCTCCTCCTTCCTCCTTTCCTCCTCCTCCTCCTCCTCCTCCTTTTCCTCCTCTTTCCTCTCCTCCTCCTCCTCCTTCTCCTCTTCCTCCTCCTCCCTCTCCTCCTTCTCCTTCTCCTCATCCTTCTTTTTCTCCTCCTCCTCCCTCTCCTCCTTCTCCTCCTTCTTCTCCTTCTCCTCAACCTTCTTCTTCTCCTCCTTCTCCTCCTTCTCCTCCTCCTCCTTCTCCTCCTCCTCCTTCTCCTCCTTCTTCTCCTTCTCCTCCTCCTCCTCCCTCTCCTCCTTCTTCTTCTCCTTCTCCTCCTCCTTCTTCTCCTCCTCCTCCCTCTCCTCCTTCTTCTCCTCCTCCTCCTCCTCCTCCTTCTCCTCCTTCTCCTTCTCCTCCTCCTCCTCCTCCTCCCTCTCCTCCCTCTCCTCCTTCTTCTTCTCCTTCTCCTCTTCCTCCTCCTCTGCTGGCAAAGACACGCTCTGTTTAATCCCCAGTCAGGGTTCAGAAATGCAAGAGAGGATTTGCCTGGGATTTCTCAGGCTGACTCAACTTTGGCCTCAGTTCACGCAGCCCCACTTTCACAATGAAAATGCAAAATCCCCTTAATCTCCCGTCTGTTAATAGCAGGGGAGTCATCGGAGGGGAATTCAAGCGTCATTTCAGAGCAGTGCAGAAGACTGCAGTTGCTCGGCACCATTCAGTGCTTCCCTGGAGATGCATCAGCCCGGCTTTCTGGCATTTGAGAGCAAGATCCCCTGACCTGTACAAACAAGCGTGGTCCGGTGGCTTTTTAAGGACCTGGAAGTGGCCTTTGGCCGGTGTGCCTCATCTCACAGCCCTTCCCCGGTTGGATCGGAGGCCGAAGGGGAGGCGTCGGTCACTTCCCTGCCTCCCATCCTTCATGTCACCGGTTTGATTGAAAGCCCCGGTTCTGAAGAATCCCTTGTGGATATGCTTTCAGAGGGGGTAGCCTTGCTGATCTGCAGTATAACAGGGAGACATCTGTGCATGGGTGGGCCCTCATATTTGCACCTAGGAAAGGTTCTGGTTCAGAACATCAGAAGAGCCAGTTTGTCTTGGCAAGGCAGGATACAAATAGAAAGTAATAAATAAATAAATAATAAGAGCCCTGCTGGATCAGACAGACCAGTGGTCCATCTAGTCCAGCATCCTGTCTCACATAGCAGCCAACCAGATCCTCTGGAGGACCAACAACAGGGCATAGAGGCCGAGGCCTTTGTGAGAACATCAGAAGAGCCCTGCTGGATCAGACCAGTGGTCCTTCTAGTCCCGCATCCTGCCACACACAGTGGCTGACCAGTTCCTCTGCAGGGCCAACAACAGGGCAGAGGCTGAGGCCTTCGTGAGAACATCAGAAGAGCCCTGCTGGATCAGACCAGGGGTCCATCTAGTCCAGCATCCTGTCTCACACAGTGGCCAACCAGTTCCTCTGGAGGGCCAACAACAGGGCAGAGGCCGAGGCCTTCCCCTGATAAGAACATCAGAAGAGCCCTGCTGGATCAGACCAGTGGTCCACCTAGTCCAGCATCCTGTCTCACACAGGGGCCAACCAGTTCCTCTGGAGGGCCAACAACAGGGCAGAGAGGCCAAAGCCTTCCCTTGATAAAAACCTAAGAAGAGACCTTCTGCGTCAGACCAGTGGTCCACCTAGTCCAGCAGCCTGTTTCACACAGAGGTCAACCAGTTCCTCTGGAGGGCCAACAACAGGGTATAGGGGCCGAGCCCTTACCCTGGTGTTCAATTCTGGGATTTGGAGGTTGACTGCTTCTGAATGTGGAGGTTTCCCTCAGTCAGTCTGGTATGATGTGTGCTAGATGCCCACAGAACAATACAATAACAAAAGAGACTGGATTAAAGCCATAAGATCATTTAGTGTTTGGTAATTAAAAAAGTAATTTAAAAAAATGAGGAGCTGCGGTGGTTCAAGCGGTTAAGACGCTGAACTGCAGGCTGTGGAAGGTCGGTAGTTCAGCAGTTCGAGACCCGGGTGCCACATGACGGAGTGAGCTCCCATCTAGTTCCAGCTCCTGCCAACCTAGCAGTTCGAAAGCAAGAAATTGCAAGTAGATAAATAGGTACCACTTCGGTGGGAAGGTAACAGTGTTCTGTGCACCTTGGTGTTGAGTCATGCCGGCCACATGACCACGGAAATGTCTTCGGACAGCGCTGGCTCTTCGGCTTGGAAACAGAGATGAGCACCGCAACCTTAGAGTCGTATTCGACTGGCTTTCAAGCAAGGGAACCTTTACCTTTACCTTTTTAATAAAAAACAACCACTTATTCCTTCATAGAAAAAATGCAAAGGTCGATAAAACTTCACAGAGCAGTCTGCTCCAGACTCTCTCAGTCTATATCTCCCTAGCAGTCTTGTATTCTTAAAAGCCGTCTGCTCCAAATCCAATCAATCTGTGTCTCTCTTTCAACACTCTTGCCGGATATTTAAGCGTTTCAGACCTCTGGTCTTTCCTCAGGAACAAATCCTATATAGGAATCTAACATTCAGTCTTACCTTCAAGTTGACACTTTCACTGATTTACTTTTCTATTAATCTATTTGGGCAAGGTCTCCTTCCTTATTTCCAAGCGTGCATCTCTATATTTTTTCATACCAGACTGTCTTGGGACTGTGTGTTATTCCTGTGGATGGTTTCCCTCAGTCACCATGGCTAGTAGCCACAAATAGACCTGTCCTCCATGAATAATCCCCTTTTAAAACTATCTATTTAAAACTGGCCATAACTACAGCCTCTGGCAGCAAATATCAAATTTGAATCACTCCCTGTGGGAAGTAGTTTTTCTTTTGGTCCGTCCTGAACCTACTGCCCATCAGCTTCTTTTGCTCTGGTGCAAGCAGCCTTCCGTTGATCCAAGAGTCATAAGAACATAAGAGATGCCAATGTTGGATCAGGCCAAAGGCCCATCCAGTCCAACACTCTGTATCACACAGTGGCCAGAAATACCAGGGGCCATCAGGAGGTCCACCAGCGGGCTCCCACTGTTGACCCCCCCCCCAAGCACCAAGAAGACAGAGCATCACTTGCCCCAGAGCCCCTAGCTATACCTTGTGGCTAATAGCCACTGATGGACCTCTGCTCCATATGCTTATCTAATTCCCTTTTGAAGCCGTCCATGCTTGTAGCACCCACCACTTCCTGTGGCAGTGAATTCCATGTGTTAATCACTCTTTGGGTGAATAAGTACTTCCTTTTATCCGTTCTAACCCGACCGCTCAGCAATTTCATGGAGTGCCCACGGGTTCTTGTATTGTGAGAAAGGGAGAAAAGTACCTCTTTCTTTACCTGCTCTTTCCCATGCATAATCTTATAAACCTCGATCATGTCACCCCTCAGTCGTCTTTTCTCCAAGCTAAAGAGCCCTAAGCGCTTTAACCTTTCCTCATAGGGAAAGTGTTCCAACCCTTTTATCATTCGAGTTGCCCTTTTCTGCACTTTTTCCAAAGCTATAATATCCTTTTTAAGGTGTGGTGACCAGAACTGCACACAGTATTCCAAATGAGGTCGCACCATCGATTTATATAGGGGCATTATGATATTGGCTGATCTGTTTTCAATACCCTTCCTAATAATCCCCAGCATAGCATAGAGTCCCTTGCATAGAGTCCCTTGCATAGAGTCCCTTGCATCAGCAGAAGGCTCCTCATGAGGAAGGGAAGTGCAGTCATCTCCAGGGTCCATCCCCATTTTGAGAACCACAGTGATTTTGCAGTACGTTCCGCTCAGGGGCGGATTAACCATTAAGAAGACTAGGCAGGTGCTTAGGGCACAAGGGCCAAAGGGGGCACCGCAAAGTTGGGGAAAGAGCGAAAAGAACTATGTAGCCCAAGCTTGGCTTAGTTTGTACAGTATATTGTGTTAGCGGTTAGCCAGTTGGGTGTCGTGGTTAAGGTGTGTCGGACTCTAATCTGGGAGAACCGGGTTCGATTCCCCACTCCTCCACTTGCAGCTGCTGGATGACCTTGGGCAAGCCGTAGTTCTGACAAGAGCTGTCCTTGAAAAAGAGCTGTTTCTGTCAAGAGCTCTCTCAGCCTCGCCTACCTCACAGGGTGTCTGTTGTGGGGAGGGGAAGGGAAAGGAGTTTGTAAGCCGCTCTGAGACACCTTTGAGTAGTGAAGGGCGGGGTATAAATCCATCCTCCTCCTCCTCCGGGCAGTGAAGGGCGGGGTATAAATCCAATCTTCTTCTCCTCCTTTTCCTCCTCCTCCTCCTCTTCTTCTTCTTCTCATCAATATCATAGGAATAAATTTCTGTATTGCTGCAACCCGCATTGTATATCTGGTCAGACAGGTCAACAACTAAAAAGGACTGGGTCGGTGTGGAAAGGAGGGGGGCACCAAGATTGGTCAGTGCGTAGGGCACCAGTGAGCCGTAATCCGCCCCTGGTTCTGCTAGGGGGTGCATTTGGGCCAAGGATCGGTGTGTGTTGTGGGGACTCAGAAATGCCCTCCCTGGACTTGACGAGGTGCCTTATTCTTGAACTGGGGTCTGTTTTTCTTGTTCCTCTTCCAGTGGATAGACCGGTCAGGGTTTACGCCGATGGGATATTCGATCTCTTCCACTCCGGACACGCCCGGGCCCTGATGCAAGCAAAAAACCTCTTCCCAAACACATACCTCATTGTAGGAGGTAAGGAGAAAAGTTCTATTAACTTTAGCGGGCGGGGAGGACTGATCTTGCCCGCCTGAGGAGACCACACGGGTTGCGAAGAAAAACCGGCACAGTCTTGTCTACTTGGGTTGGATTGAGCCTTGAATCTTCTGCATGCTAATCAGATGCTCTTTCACATAGGCGGGGGGCCGTGGCTCAGTGGTAGAGCATCCCGCTTGGCACGCAGAAGGTCCCAGGTTCAATCCCCAGCATCTCCAGTTCAAAGGTGGTGGGAAAGCCCCCTGCCGGAGACCCCAGAGAGCTGTAAAGAGAGATCTTTCACTCTTCTCTTGGGAGGGGCCGTGGCTCAGGGGTAGAGCATCCGCTTGGCACGCAGAAGGTCCCAGGTTCAATCCCCGGCATCTCCAGTTCAAAGGTGGTGGGAAAGCCCCCTGCCGGAGACCCCAGAGAGCTGTAAAGAGAGATCTTTCACTCTTCTCTTGGGAGGGGCCTTGGCTCAGGGGTAGAGCATCCGCTTGGCACGCAGAAGGTCCCAGGTTCAATCCCCGGCATCTCCAGTTCAAAGGTGGTGGGAAAGCCCTCTGCCGGAGACCCCAGAGAGCTCTAAAGAGAGATCTTTCACTCTTCTCTTGGGAGGGGCCATGGCTCAGGGGTAGAGCATCTGCCAGTGGTAAAGCCCTCTGCCTGAGACCCTGGAGAGCTGTAAAGTGGGGCCGTGGCTCAGTGGAAGAGCCTCTGCTTGGCATGCAGAAAGTCCCAGGTTCAATCCCTGGCATCTCCAGTTGAAAAGGACCAGGCAGTAGGTGATGGGAAAGACCTCCGCCTGAGACCCTGGAGAGCTATAAAGTGGGGCTGTGGCTCAGTGGCAGAGCCTCTGCTTGGCATGCAGAAGATCCCAGGTTCAATCTCTGGCATCTCCAGTTGAAAAGGACCAGGCAGTAGGTGATGGGAAAGACCTCCGCCTGAGACCCTGGAGAGCTGTAAAGTGGGGCCGTGGCTCAGTGGAAGAGCCTCTGCTTGGCATGCAGAAGGTCCCAGGTTCGATCCCCGCCATCTCCAGTTAAAAGGACCAGGCAGTAGGTGATGGGAAAGACCTCCACCTGAGACCCTGGAGAGCTGTAAAGTGGGGCCGTGGCTCAGTGGAAGAGCCTCTGCCTGGCATGCAGGAGGTCCCAGGTTCAATCCCCGGCATCTCCCGTTGAAAGGACCAGGCAGGAGGTGATGTTATTGAGTGGGAGAGGGGCTGTGGCTCAGTGGTAGAGCATCCACCCCAAGTTTTCTCTCTCACGACTTGCGGCCGTTTGCCTTGCTCTTAGCTCTGTTTATTTTGTCCCGCTCCAGTTTGCTTGCCTGCCCCGGGTTATAAATTATGCATTGCAAACAGTAAGCCCGAATTTAACGTCCTAGGTATGGCGGGAAAGGGGGTGGGGTCAAAACCGCCCCTTCCCATATGCGCCTTGGAGAGCGTTACACTCTGAGAATCAACATCTTCTGGAGGTCCCTGGCCCAAAGGACCTCCGCCTCGCCTCGGCCAGGGCCTTTTCCGCCCTGGCCCCCACCTGGTGGCACATGCTCCCCATCGAGATCTGGGTTCTGTGGGATCTTATGCAATTCCGCAGGGCCTGCAAGACGGAGCTCTTCCGCCACATACAGCGCCCCCCTGAGGTTGTGGTCTCCCACCCACTGGCCATACCCAGTTACATCAGCGGCCCGGATTCTCCCTACGGCAAGCACGACTCCTGTTTTGATGTTTTAATGTGTTTTAAATTTCTATATAGAATTAATTCTTTATTGAAACTTTCACCCCCCCAAAAAAGAAGAAGAGAAAACACAAAACACCGACAAACATAGATGGGTTTTATTGGGTTATGAAAATAAGAAGCAGGAGACTGACCCGATATGAAGGTGCACAGAGAGTTTATAAAGGTGAATATATACAGATACTTACCAGGCCATTGAACAGCATGCCGCGCCTTAGTCTCTGAGAGCTGAGTCCCCCATAGCTAACTAAGCGGACAGCTATTATGCTGAATTCTATCCAATCCCTAACAAGGTGATGTAATCTCTAACAAGACCTGAAAGAGCAACACCTGGTAGAAGAACCTCTTTGTAGTTACATGACTGCTAGCCTGACAGCTAGGTTTGACAGTCAGATAAAACTCATCTACAGTAACTGCTTGCTACCTTTGACATTTTGACCCATATCTTAATAGGTTTCCCTCCCACTCATCTCACACTTGGTTAATTAACTATTCAGTTATAATTATTTTCTGTGAATGACAGATTTGTTAGTATTAACTAAATACAGAGTTATAAATGTTTCTCTGTCCAGACATATAATTTTGCACATACATCTTTGAAAAGAAAAGAAGAGGAGATTGGATTTATACCCGCCCTTCACTACCCGAAGGTGTCTCAGAGTGGCTTACAAACTCCTTTCCCTTCCCCTCCCCACAACAGACACCCTGTGAGGTAGGTGGGGCTGAGAGAGCTCTTGACAGAAACTGCTCTTTTTCAAAAACAGCTCTGATCAAAACTATGGCTTGCCCAAGGCCATCCAGCCAGGTGCAAGTGGAGGAGGAGTGGGGAATCAAACCCGGTTCTCCCAGATTAGAGTCCGCGCACTTAACCACTGCACCGAACATTGTCTCTCCTTCTTTGAAGTAGTATTGTTAAGTTGTCCATTTCCGCTATATCCATAAGTTTACAGGTAATATCCTCTTTTGTGGGTATTTCTTCTTTTTTCCACATACTGGCAAATAGAATTCTGGCAGCTGTTACAACATGGGTGATCATATAACAGTCTAACTTATGAAACTGATCAGGAATTACATTTTAGTACAAACATTTCTGGGTTAAAAGGGACGTTAATACCTTAAATTCTGTTGTATTTATTGAAATGCCACGACCCGCCCTGAGCCCGTTTATGGGATGGGCAGGATATAAATGCGGGAAATAAATAAATAAAATTAAAAATTCTACAGTTACATCTGCACCAGGGTCGTGCCTCTGGACCAAGGGAAAGCCCATGGCAAAACAGGACCCATATACCCCGGGGCAACAGCGGTCCGAACCCGGGATGGCCACAGTGTGATGCAGAACTGACCAAAAATACCAGGATAAAAACAGGGGTGACCTCGAGTGTAGACAAATAGTCAGATTCCTTATCACAAAATGAAACAGAAAGTCATGCTTCGAAATTTGTGGAAAATATGGTTTCCAGTTCTAGAATATTTAGCGTCTCGCAGTGAGTTTAAATCTATTTTAGAAGCCATAAATATTGCATGTTGATTTTTGTTTATTACTCTTTGTGACCTATTGTTCTTTTGTATTGATTTAATTGTTGGTACTTACGTGAAGTTTCTCGAATTTTTTCCTGTATATTTGTTTGTTTATTTGTTCATTTACCTTAATAAAGTTTGAAAGAGTTAAAAAAAAAAACCCACCTCAAGTGTAGTGCAGATTAGCTAGTAGGAGATAGCGTTGAACCAGGATTAAAAGTCTAGAATATAAGAGCAGCCAATGTTGGATCAGGCCAATGGCCCATCCAGTCCAATACTCTGTGTCACACCGTGGCCAGAAATACCAGGTGCCTTCAGGAGTTCCAGTAGTGGGGCCAGGACACTAGAAGCCCCCTCCCACGGTTGCT